TTGACTTCATGACTCAGCACTTGTCTTTTGTTTTGGGAGAGAGACTGGTTAATATTAGGGCTGTCAGTCGATTAAAATATTTAATCGCGATTAATCGCATGATTGTCCATAGTTAATCGCGATTAATCGCAAATTAATCGCACATTTTTTATCTGTTCTAAATGTACCTTAGAGGGATATTTTTCAAGTTTTTAATACTCATATCAACATATGAGTGGACAAATATGCTTTATATGTTTGTTTATTATCATTTGAACAATGACAAATATTCTCATGAATATTAAATACAACAACCTCTGAACATTACAAATATTCGCCTCAATTCAACCTGGAACCTCTCTCATACAATAATACAATACAAAGTGTGTGTGTGTGTGCGCGTGTGTGTGTGTGTGTGCGCGTGTGTGTGTGTGTGTGTGTGTTGTGTGTGTGTGTGTGTGTGTGTGTGTGTGTGTGTGTGTGTGTGTGTGTGTGTGTGTGTGTGTGTGTGTGTGTGTGTGTGTGTAGACACTGTGATGGATCGTTGGAGCTATGTGCAGCTCGAGGCATATATGCTCGAACGGGAGCTGCAATCATGTTGCACTATCCATGCTGAGTGTGCTGACTTTTCGTACAATGTCCCACTGTCTGGCTACCTGCATAAAGTCAAGTGCTCGGCGCAGTTGTCGGCGAAATGTCATTGAAACAGCTCCTTATATCCGTTAGCGCAGCTAGCTAGCACCGGATGCTAACAACAACAACACGTAAGGTGTGTCAGGTGAGTCGCGCCACACATACACACACACCCTCCCGGTCCTCCCGATGGCCAGTCCGGGCCTGCCGGTGAGCGTGGAAGTGTGGTCTGCCACAAGCGGAATACAAAAAAATACACATGCGTTAATCGCGTTAAAATAATTAGTGGCGTTAATTTTTTTTTGCGTTAACGCGTTATTAACGCGTTAACTTGACAGCCCTAGTTAATATAATTTAGGAACATTTAGGTTGTGTTGAAGATCAGATAAAGCACACATCATTCTGCTACTTCCTACCTGTAGATGTTTTATAACATTGTGTTGTTCTTTAAAAGTCAGACTTTGTAACTACAGATGGAGCATCTTATTTCAGACTCCAGCTTACTGCTTCCTGCCTACTACCTGCCAGTTACCTGCCTAAGACCTGCCAAAGACCAGTATCTGGGAATGTTAAGCCCTCCCACTATTTTCCAAGAGGGCGTTGCCAGATTTTCAATTTCAGGATTTAACCAGGAGATGGCGCTTCCTTCACAAAAACAGGAAGACAACTTTTCATGGACTTTCAGTTTTGTTTAGAAGAGCATTTGAGCACATCAATATTTTAGATCAAATAAAGTATATCTAATCTTGTAATTCAATAATATATAGTCTTTATATATTAAATAACTATGGCCAAACTAAGACTTAGTTTTTCACAAGAGAAAATGCAGATATTATATAAAAAACTAAAGTTAAAATCTTGTTTTTAATGCCCCAAGAGCAATAAAAACACTTGGTAAAAAAATACAAGCTGTAAAAATACTTATATATATTTAATACTAATAACATAATGATTAATTTCAGATGATAATACTTTTCAGTGTCTGTCTCATGCAGCAGCTGACCCGGCCGACAGTAAAAAATAAACATTTATAACTAGTTTAGGTTGTTTGAGAGGTAATTAAAATAGCTAAGGGTGATGATCTGACTTGAAGTGTGTGTTTTTGCTCCTAATTAAATGTGTACAAGATGTGAAGTCAACAGGTATAGGAAAATATTCATAAAACGTCCAAATAGTCACAGCAGGGATTTGCCACTGTGCCACTACAGTTGATCTGTGTGTCTACAAAGAAAGCTTTTCATTTGCTAGATGCTGATGTAGCTATTTGGATTACTTTTGAAGATGCAGTTGGGAATATTTCCTCAACCCTGCTTTGTTATTTTCAGAAAAGTGAAACTTAAATAGGCCTATAAAATGATAGAATTTAAAAGAGTCTTGAAAAAGCATGGTGATGGCAATAAATGCATTAATGAATCCCCAAAATCTACAGAATACATTTAATTTAAGGGGAGCAGTTACTGAGAAGTATATAATGAGAACTGCTACCAATGGTGGCCTATTTAGTTTATTAAGAAATACATATTTTTAGCTTATTTCAGACTCCAGCTTACATACATTTCCCGCCTAAGGATAATATTCCCACAGTGCAGCATAATGTACAGTATCACACTGTATTACAAATTCAAAGTAAATGACTGTGGGTAATACAGCAATTTACTGCCTAGATTACAGATTTTGTTTACAGTGTATGTTGCATGTTTTAAATGTATTGTATTTACTTGTTTAAAATGAAATGTGTTTTAGATTGACTTTTAAAATCTAACTAACTACAGATGAAAAATAGCCTCTTGGCTAACTAAGAAGAAAGGGTAGACATATCTGTACTTAGTGCCAAGTAGCTAAGCAGGTATTCACTCAGAGGGGGGTAGGTACTAAATGCCACCCATTTACATGTAGGCAAACAAAGTCAAAAATCAACATACAGTAGGGGGGTGGGGGATGGTGAACGGTATGGTCAATGTTTGTAAACACAATCCCCAGGATGTGTCCTTATCAAACCAAAATAGAAAATGCAGATATTACACTCAGACATCTGAAAAGTCCTTATAAAATGATAGAATTTAAAAGAGTCTTGAAAAAGCATGGTGATGGCAATAAATGCATTAATGAATCCCCAAAATCTACAAATCTAAAAGCTGTTTTATTGTGAAAAACCCGGAAGTTCTCATAAAATCTCAATGCCAAGCTTTTATTCTGAAAATCCTTCATATCCGGTTAGTATTGACAAGCATGTGGCTAATATTACGTTTTCTGAATGTGAAGTAAAAATGACACGGAATGTTGCACACCAAAACCTACTGACTTTAACATTACATCTATAGATGTCGAGATATTATTACTGATGAATATTAAATGAAGGTACCGTTGATCGTAAAGTGTTTTCACATACGTGGGTAGCTATGACGTCAGAAGGAGTTACCGTAAATGAGAGCTGCCGTAAAAGTATTTCTAGGATTTCTAAACGAACTATTACAGCTGTTATAAAGCATTAAATAAAAAGTCATGAAAGAGATAAGGAGGAGAAAAGGTTTAAGGAAGTAAGCAAGGAATACAGAATGTCGAAATCCTCTGTTTCAGGCGATGTCAAACATTGAAGACAGAGGACGGCGGTCCCCCAATCTACACAGCGGGAGAACGAAGATCATAAAGCTGATCGGAGGAGACATCACGATCTTTCCCACATTAGTGCAATTCACCTATACTTAACCCCAAATAAAAGAACCCAATAAAAACAGTTGTTAAATAATAGTGAAGTCACGTTGTAATAATAACTCATCTCTCGGTTTGAGTGTTCTTTTTCTGCTTTTCTGACTATTTCTCATTGTGGGGAAAAATAACACCCAGGGTCCTGATCGTTTTAATGAAGTTGAATACAGAATATTCATATTTGTCAGTGATTTCATGTCAATTCGGCGAACATAAACATAAATGATCGTGCTGAAGATGATGATTAAATTAGGATTACAAATCGGGAGAGCCGGCTGCATTTCCTCTCGTTCGTTTTTTTCGACTAAACAACATTATTTTGTTAAATAACAACATGGTGATGTTTTGTAAATGATTACATGTCTTATTTAGCACAGACTATGATCCTATCTGTGACATATGGATCTTAACAAAGATCCGCTATACATTAGTACCAGACATACTGTACATCCAGCTTACTGTATCGAAGTTGATTTCACATGAGTTCCAGTGTGGAACCCCACTGCACCCCCTGGTGGATCAATGATCCATTGCAGCTGGGTTCACAATAATTAAATGTATTTATCACGGGGGCGGTATCAAGTCAGACTGGGGGCCGGCTCTTCATCACGAACCGATCACGGGCCGATCACGGACCGTGCACGAGCCAATCACGACCCTCGCGTTTCAAACTGTCTGAAATAAGATGCTCCATCTGTATACTGCATTTATTGAGGAAGCAAAGAGAGAAAATATATTTTATAGTCATCTGACTTTGGTTTCTGGAAAGTCTTTGATCATATCACCCAATGAACAGCCTCATTGAGGTCACTTTATCTCACTGTCATTCATGTTTGAACAAGTGGATGATCATTATTTTGTTGACCTTGACCTATTTTCACTGACCGGCCATGAAGTGATTTTAATAAACAATCATTTTAATATTTGATAACCCACATTATATTTTTTTATTGTTTTATAAAGAATACTAAAATAATACCAACATATTTCCTTCACACTAATGCACACCATTCATTGTAGATATTATAATAAACAATGTTTGGCCTTTAGAGTTATTGAAAATGCACATTGGTAATGAAATGTGTTTGAGTTTATATATATTATACATTGTTGAAAATGTCAGCTATTTAGTTTGTTCTTCAACTTGTAAACAAGTCTATGTCTCTGTCGCTCAACCTACATATTGTTTTGCTGTGTTAGAGAAAGCAAGAGACAGTCTGCCATCACTGTAACTCTTTCTCTCTCTCTGTCTCTGAGCTTCTGTAAAGCCTGCTCCTTCTCACAACAGTAATCTACTTCCATCCGTGTCTCAAACTAAACTGTGTTGGGTCCTTGAATTTGAGGGAATATGGCCTGTAAAGTCCTTGAAAAGTCATTGAATTACATTTTTAAGATGTAGAAACCCTAAACATACTTTTTGAATATTGGTAAACTGATTATCAAAAGATTTGGTATCCCCACTCCATCATACAGGTTCTTCTAGATAGTATCTTTGTGTGCTTTGTAGTTATTGTGGTTTTCCTGATAACATGCTCAAAGTACTAAGTGTTATCAGCATTCGTTTGTTTCCACATGTTTATGGTCAATATGTTCAGTAATGATTGATCAGCAGAAGACACTATATAAAGCTGGGGTTACCACAGAAACTCTAAAGTAGATCTGAACAGACTGCCACTTTGAGAATGGAGAGGACCATGTGTTTTCCTCTGTTGCTGCTGATCTGCTCTCTCTCTACGGCTCAGCTTCAGTCTGACAATGACATTGTTCCACATCATGCTGAATCCCAGGGAGGAGAACCAACAAATGTGTCTGAGCACCAACAGACCTGTCCTCAAGACATCCACGCTGTGCTGAGAGAGATGAGCGCCTCTTTGGCTGAGCAGAAGGTGGAGACGAGGCACCTTCAGAGAGAGAATGAAGGTACTGTGGTGTGTAAGGTGGGGACATATGGAAACCGTTCTTGGATAAAGTGTTTTCACTAAACCAGTTTACAGTATTACTTGCAGATAATGATACTGTTCTAGCTCTTTACCCTCTTCTTCTGTTTGCTACATGTAGAGATCACAACAGTCCTTAAAGTTTTCATTGAACCTCATGTAGCCTTCTTCTCAACGGTGCATGTGTAAGAATACATGCATTAACAGATGTAACATCTTTCAGTCTGAACAACTATTGTTATATGCTTGTTCACCTTTTTATTTTAGAACAACATCAATAATCTGATGTTGCAGAGAACATGTCTGACAATCCCAACTTCATTTCTAAAGGAAGGAGGTTATCAAAAGACTAGTTTGGCATGTTAGCATGCTGCTAACATATGCTAATCAGAACCTCAGCAACATACAGCTGAGGCTGATGGGAGCATCTGTAGTTGAGTTACAAACCAAGCTATTGGACCTAATACAATGTCCACTTGATGTGTCCAACCCAGTTTGTCACTCAAAATGTGTTTCTGGTGGCAGATCACAATGTCTGTAGCAACTGAATAACCCACATTTGCCTATCCAGAGTCATGTTGTTAATGTGGCTTAAATAGGAACTACACAATTCAGTGAAATAGTAAGGGACGATGTGCAGCGAGGCGGTTGTTGATGGAAAAAGAACACTGGGTGATCATGGAGCCCAACATGAAGCGGAGGGATTTTGATCCCAACAAACCAACGACTTGAGTCTCTATCCATTTTTAAATGATTTTATTGACTTAAAACGTATCGTATTGCTCATAAAAATGCTCCGTTCCACTGCGTACCAACGGCTGGAACTGCAGAATGTCTGAACTTAAGATGAATGGCAGCTCTGATTGGGGTTAACTGTTACTGTGCGAGTACGATCACACTTTCTTCTCCACTAACAAGTCCTTAAACAATGCCAGAACAGCCCATAACGTGTTCCTGTTAGTGTTTACTTCCTGTCTGACATCTTCTGTTGATTTCTCAGACGTTCAACGCTCTGTCTTTGAAGCTCTTTCCTTATCTCCCTTGATTCTCCTTAGCAACGGTCATTATTTTTGCTAAGCAGCTGTGTGTTATCTTGTATTAACAACCTCTGCAATTTAAAAATTGACCAATCAGAATCGAGTATTCAACTAAGCTGTGAAATAAACGAAAGTAGTGCAGGAATGAATTAGTTTTTATTATTCAATAAATAACTATACATTCATTTGGTTATTTAATAAAGCACAAACCGCTAAGCTGGAGTTACAGAAGACTGAGGGGGAGTTACAGAAGGCTGAGCTGGAGAAGCAGAAGACTGAGGGGGAGTTACAGAAGACTGAGCTGGAGAAGCAGAAGACTGAGCTGGAGAAGCAGAACACTGAGGGGGAGTTACAGAAGGCTGAGCTGGAGAAGCAGAAGACTGAGGGGGAGTTACAGAAGACTGAGCTGGAGAAGCAGAAGACTGAGTGGGAGAAGCAGAAGACTGAGCTGGAGAAGCAGAAGACTGAGGGGGACAAGCTAAAGCAACAACTTCACGGTAATGTGTGGACAAGATCATGGCTCAAACTATTTATAGTAAAAATGATTTATGATAGTGTATCTGAAGCAAGGAGAAAACCCTGTTTGAGCAGACACATATATTATAATATATTATATATGTAATTGTTTTAAACATAAATAATAGGCAAAGCTAACCTTGATGAAGACAGTGAGGATGAAATACTTGTAACTATCAAACACTATTTCTTTCAGACTCAAATATGTAATGATGTCACTTTCTTCACAGTACAAGCAGCAGAGCTGATCTCTGTGAAAGCCAGGTCAAATGTCACAGAGAACCAGGTGGAGGCTCTGAGGAGAGACGCAGAAGGTAAACATAGATCTAAATGATTTAATTCAGTTTTGAACAGGCTCATTCCCAAATCTGTGCACTTTTAAAAACTTTCAATCACAGTAAAAAAGAATAAAAATTACTCTCTCTCTCTCTCTCAGTCAAACAGGTGGCTTTCTCAGCCTCTCTGTTGGCTTCAGGCGAAGGAACTATCGGACCATTTAACACTGAAACTAATCTGGTCTTCAGATACGTCTTCTCAAACATTGGGAATGCCTACAACCCAAACACAGGTACTCAAATCTCCACAAAAAATCTAACGTTATTGGCTTTGTTGAAGTCAAATACATGATCAACAAACAAATCTCAAGTGACCTTCACTGACAAAAAATGTCCAACAGGTTTTTTCATTGCACCAGTGAGAGGAGCCTATCACTTTGAGTTCTACATTGGTGGTCACGGACATCCTTCACATGGTTCAGCTGCTGGGTTGATCAAGAACGGAGAGATAGTTTGTATTGCATTAGAACATCAGACTTCAGGTTTTGCAAAATCTTCTAATGGTGCCACGCTGCTTCTAGAGGTCGGAGATGTTGTGTTTTTGCGTTTGTGGGGAAACTCCAAGATATTTGACGATGCAAATCATCATAACACCTTTAGTGGTCATCTGCTTTTCACCATGTGAAAGGGAAACCGTTTTTCTTTTGTGTGTCAGTAATTGTTGAAAAAAGTGTAATTAGTTTTTCCTTAATATGAAAGCTGATAACAACACTGTACAATACACTTTTTAATACAAAATATGTGTGCATTTTTTGTTGTTTTGTTGAGTTATTTGCATGAAATACACAGCGATACAGAGACAGAATACTTGTACCAGATTTTCAACATAAAATATATGAGGTGCAATAATTCTGAGAATATTGTGTTTTTTTCATGAATTTTCAGAATTCACTTAATTTACATCACAATGTCGAGAAACACTAAATCTAAATCCAGTCTGTTTTGCCTCAATCAAGAAGACAAGGAGAATCTAGCTACATGTTGGTTAGAGCTCAGCATCCATCAAAACAACTTCACTTTTCCTGTCTGATCTTTTGTGTTTTTTTTACTTTGTTTTATAGAAATGTGAATAACTGAGTGCTGTTAATGTGACAGGGGGATTCAGTTTGTTGCTTCAAATCCATTTCACATAGCTGTGCTTCATCTGTTTTTAAGCATCTCGACATACACAAGAACTGTACCAGTGCCAGCAAATGAGAGTCTCATTGACAGAGTTTGTCAGTACGTACATGAAACCTGAACGACGAAGTTTCAAGGCAGCAATCATCTAAAAAAGTTAAATATATTGTTTTCATGTTCTCATACATTTGAATAAAAGCACAAACAAATCACTGCAATACTCCTTCAGGACTTTTCTTCACAATGATGGTTTGAAAATAAAAGAACGTGTTATTGTTCGAAAACCAATAATAAAACGATAATAAAATAGAAGTGTCTTATATATTTCGAAATCAATATTATTGTTTTTATGGAACAACAGAAATGTTCATTATATATATATATATATATCAAAATTGTTACCATTGTATTTAATAAACACAGTAATAATACAAACACAATACAGCACACAATGTGTTCCGACATCTATTTTTGTTTTACTTTTTATTATCATTTCTCACATCGCAGACAAACATATTTACAAAACAAAAAACATATTTACCACCAACAAAATAAATGATAATAACATTAATAATGACAATAAAGACACAAAATGATATATACAAAGAAACAAAAATATCAAGACAGCAATGAGAAAGGGAAAGGAAGGGACGTGCAGAAGAGAGAGCATTGTGCTAATGTGTTACTGTGAGGTGATGCTTTGTTGGGAAGTGTCCGGCCAAACATGTGTGAAGAGGAATCTGCTCTGAAGGTAGAGCATGAAAGGAGACAGGTTTGATTGACGGGTGTTATATTGTCATTTTGTGTTGAAGAGAGTTTTCCCAGGTCTGCATGATCTGTTGAACGATTGAGAGAATGGTTAATAGTTCATTTTGTTCTGTCTCTCCAGTTGAGGAAAATAGTTTTTCTGTGCTACAGTTATTGCTATGATAATGACAGTTTGGAGATGTAGTGGGAGAGCGATGGAGGATACATCTCCTATAAGAGAGCGATGGAGGGGGTGAGGGGTTGCCGATTTTGAGGACCTCTGACAGCTTTCTCATGACCTCCGACCAAAACCGGGTCACTTGTATTGAATGAGTTGTATTTCTGTTACGGGACATGCTAAATGTTTTATTACAGATGGTGTGGCAGTTAATGTCTGTTTGATTTGGATCTGATGCCCATTCGTGTGTTGGTATGGAAACAGTGTTGTTGTGTTGAGAAAATAGTTTGTACATTTGTGATGATATCTTTTTTGGTTGTAATGAAGGAGGGAGATTGTCAAAGTTATTCATATCTATTGTCTTGTATGGCCTCCTTCAAATGTAGTGACTGGAAGTTGTCAGGGTTGGGGAAAATCAGGACCCAAATGCAGTTAAGAGGACAAAAGGTCAGGTAACAAAAAACAAGCTTTTTTAAAAAGCCGATGACTTAACATGAACAAAAAGCGGGGAGCAGGACAGACAGGAACACACTTACAGAAGGGAACAGGCAGGTAGCACGGACAAGGAAGACGAGCAGGTAACATGGACCAACATGGAGCGTGACATGAAAGACGATCGGACATGGAGAACAGGGGAAGATAAGACTAAATACACAGAAGGGTAATCACAGGACAAGACACAGCTGGGCAAGGGAGGCAGAAACACAAGGGCAACAGGTGAACACAATGAGACAATCAGACACAGGAAGGCAAACACAGGAAGTAGGAGCAGACAAGACACAAGGAGGAAAACATTTACAAATAAAAAGGTGGAAAATTGTAACAAAAATCCCAAACCATGACAGAAGTGACAGTGGTGGGGTAAATCCTATGTTTGTATGACTTGGTCTCAGGTGCTAAGAGAGCTGCTAATAAAAAGGTCCACTGCGTTTCTTCCAAAGAAAATGTGAAACCAAAATGTTGATAACATATTTTCTGTCTGCGACCAGGTAACAGACAGAACTGCATTGTGAAGCGAGGCGTTCAGGGAACCAATCTAAACACCAATGGCGTCATTATTCTAAGGCATATCATTGAAATGTTATACATTGCTACTTTGAAGGAGATAATGTTCGTATTATGATCTCTACTTTCTAACTCTTCCTGTAATATTTCTTTCTGCCTGTTCACATCTAGATCTAAATTGCTGTTGTCTCAGATGTTGGTGAGATCTCAGGCTCTATGAACACACTCACTCTTTTTTCAGCTGCTTTACACTTTGTCATATTTTGACTTCATGACTCAGCACTTTTTGTTTAATATCAGTTAGGACAAATTAGGTTGTGTTGAAGATCAGATAAAGCACACATCATTCTGCTACTTCCTACCTGTAAATGTTTTATAACATTGTGTTGTTCTTTAAAAGTCAGACTTTGTAACTATACTGCATTTATTGAGGAAGCAAAGAGAGAAAATATATTTTATAGTCATCTAACTTTGGTTTCTGGAAAGTCTTTGATCATATCCCCCAATGAACAGCCTCCTTGAGGTCACCTTATCTCACTGTCATTCATGTTTGAACAAGTGGATGATCAGTATTTTATTGCATTGACCTATTTTCACTGGCCAGCCATGAAGTGATTTTAAGTATTTTAATATTTGATAACCCACATTATATATTTTAATTGTTTTATAAAGAATACTAAAATAATACCAACATATTTCCTTCACACTAATGCACACCATTCATTGTAGATATTATAATAAACAAGTTTTGGCCTTTAGAATTATTGGAAATGCGAATTGGCAATGAAATGTGTTTGAGTTTATATATATTGTACATTGTTGAACATGTCAGCTATTTAGTTTGTTCTTCAACTTGTAAACAAGTCTTTGTCTCTGTCGCTCAACCTACATATTGTTTTGCTGTGTTAGAGAAAGCAAGAGACAGTCTGCCATCACTGTAACTCTTTCTCTCTCTCTGTCTCTGAGCTTCTGTAAAGCCTGCTCCTTCTCACAACAGTAATCTACTTGCCAAATGTGACCTCGAGTGACACACAACAATTCTGCTGGGTCTCCCCAGACCCCAACACCAAATTATACACTTTTTTTTGAGACCTTCAGACTTGGCTGGTCAAATGGTCAAAATCAGTTTTGTAGTGTTTATATAGCTGTTGTGGAGGATATCATGAAGCCTTGTTCAGATAAAAAAAACTAGAGCGTAGTTATTATATCATTTTAACTTGAAACGGGTCACGGGAGACCCTAACACAACATAAGGGTTAAACAAGAACAGATGATAATGATGTTGTTTACATTGACTTGTTTTTACTGACACTGTTAACTGCCACCAGGTGATTTGAATGTGTGTCTATTCTATATTGTGTTTTTTTCAAGAATTTTCAGAATTCACTTAATTTACATCACAATGTCGAGAAACACTAAATCTAAATCCAGTCTGTTTTGCCTCAATCAAGAAGACAAGGAGAATCTAGCTACATGTTGGTTAGAGCTCAGCATCCATCAAAACAACTTTACTTTTCCTGTCTGATATTTTGTGTTTTTTTACTTTGTTTTATAGAAATGTGAATAATTGAGTGCTGTTAATGTGACAGGGGGATTCAGTTTGTTGCTTCAAATCCATTTCGCATAGCTGTGCTTCATCTGTTTTTAAGCATCTCGACGTACACAAGAACTGTACCAGTGCCAGCAAATGAGAGTCTCATTGACAGAGTTTGTCAGTACGTACATGAAACCTGAACGACGAAGTTTCAAGGCAGCAATCATCTAAAAAAGTTAAATATATTGTTTTCATGTTCTCATACATTTGAATAAAAGCACAAACAAATCATTGCAATACTCCGTCAGGACTTTTCTTCACAATGATGGTTTGAAAATAAAAGAACGTGTTATTGTTCGAAAACCAATAATAAAACGATAATACAATAGAAGTGTCTTATATATTTCAAAATCAATATTATTGTTTTTATGGAACAACAGAAATGTTCATTATATATATATATATATAAAAATTGTTAGCATTGTATTTAATAAACACAGTAATAATACAAACACAATACAGCACACAATATGTTCCTACCTCTATTTTTGTTTTACTTTTTATTATCATTTCTCACATCGCATACAAACATATTTACAAAACAAAAAACGTATTTACCACCAACAAAATAAATGATAATAACATTAATAATGACAATAAAGACACAAAATGATATATACAAAGAAACAAAAATATCAAGACAGCAATGAGAAAGGGAAAGGAAGGGACGTGCAGTAGAGAGAGCATTATGCTAATGTGTTACTGTGAGGTGATGCTTTGTTGTGAAGTGTCCGGCCAAACATGTGTGAAGAGGAATCTGCTCTGAAGGTAGAGCATGAAAGGAGACAGGTTTGATTGACGGGTGTTATATTGTCATTTTGTGTTGAAGAGAGTTTTCCCAGGTCTGCATGATCTGTTGAACGATTGAGAGAATGGTTAATAGTTCATTTTGTTCTGTCTCTCCAGTTGAGGAAAATAGTTTTTCTGTGCTACAGTTATTGCTATGATAATGACAGTTTGGAGATGTAGTGGGAGAGCGATG